CGGCGAAGAGAGCTTGGAGTCCACAGCTGGCGGCGAAGAGAGCTTGGAGTCCACAGCTGTTGGCGAAGAGACCCCGGAGACCACAGCTGGTGGCGAAGAGACCCCAGAGACCACAGCTGTTGGCGAAGAGGGCCTGTAGTCCACAGCTGTTGGCGAAGAGACCCCAGAGACCACAGCTGGCGATGAAGAGGACTTGGGGCTCTGGAGGACTGCAGTGTGCGACGACCATGGAGGCGACCCCTCTGGAGATGCCGAGAGCGCCGACCCCTCAGAAGATGCCGAGAGCGCCGACCCCCCCGGAGACGCCGAGAGCGCCGACCCCTCCGGAGAGTTGGAGAGCGTCGACCCCTCCGGAAACGCTGAGAGCGTCGACCCCTCCGGAGAGCTGGAGAGCGTTGACCCCTCTGGAGATGCTGAGAGCGCCGACCCCTCTGGAGATGCTGAGAGCGTCGACCCCTCTGGAGATGTTGAGAGCGTCGACCCCTCTGGAGAGTTGGAGAGCGTCGACCCCCCTGGAGAGTTGGAGAGCGTCGACCCCCCCGGAGAGTTAGAGAGCGTCGACCCCTCTGGAGAGCTGGAGAGCGTCAACCCCTCTGGAGACTTGGGACCCACTGGAGGCTTGAGAGCTGCAGCGGGCGGCGTGGAAGCCTGGAGGGCTGCAGCAGACGGCGTGGGAGCCTGGAGGGCTGCAGCAGACGGCGTGGGACCCTGGAGGGCTGCAGGCGGCGAGTCCGGCGTGAGGTCTGCGGGCGGCGAGACCAGAAGAGCCGGAGCGGGCGGCGAGACCAGGAGAGCCGGAGCGGGCGGCGAGACCAGAAGAGCCGGAGCGGGAACCAGAGACAAAACTGCAGCTGGAGAACCAGAGACCAGAGACGGAGCTGCAGCTGGTGAACCAGAGACCAGAGACGGAGCTGCAGCTGGAGAACCAGGAACCAGAGACGGAGCTGCAGCTGGAGAACCAGAGACCAGAGACGGAGCTGCAGCTGGAGAGCCAGGAACCAGAGACAGAGCTGCAGCTGGAGAACCAGAGACCAGAGACGGAGCTGCAGCTGGAGAACCAGGAACCAGAGACAGAGCTGCAGCTGGAGAACCAGAGACCAGAGACAGAGCTGCAGCTGGAGAGCCAGAGACCAGAGACGGAGCTGCAGCTGGAGAACCAGGAACCAGAGACAGAGCTGCAGCTGGAGAACCAGAGACCAGAGACGGAGCTGCAGCTGGAGAACCAGAGACCAGAGACGGGGCTGCAGCAGCAGGTGATGGAGAAGCCATGAACCCCTCCCTTCGCGAAGCTCTCCCCTTCTTGCGCTGGGTTCGGGGAGGACCAGCAGTTTGCCCCCCTCTCTCCGATGATTGCTTGGCCCCACCAGGTGGAAAGCGAGGAGGAGGTGGGCAGCGGGGTGCAGCGGCGCGGTGAGGTGGAGAGGGACGGAGAGGCTGTGAGGACCCATGTTTAATGGCCAGGCGGGTTCCCCAAAATGGATTCCTCCTCTCCTCCCTTTCTCTGACTTTCTGGGCAGTCTTCTCTGCCTCACGGACAAAAAACTCGAATAGAGAAATCATCCTCCCGCTGGGTTCAGTTGGTCCGGTCATTCTGTCACAATCCTCGGGGTTGGAACCCAATTGCAGGGAGGCGAGTGAGGCAAGAGTTTAAATAAAAATAATTTATTTAAATAACAAAACAAAAAGGCTGTCGGTGCAGCAAAACTTACTTTGGCAGACAGGATCAGAAACAAGGCAGAGCAGATCATCAGATGGACAAAAAACTGACAAGACAGAGGAGGACTGAGATATCTGTGAACACAGAACAATGACCGGACAAGGAGTGAAGGAGAGAAAGGCTTTTTATAAGGCAGAGGGAGAGTGAGTAATGAGAGCACCTGGGCAGGTGGCTGATGAGGGACAGGTGTGAATGATAAAGACTGAGGAGTGGAGAGGCAGACTGAGGAGTGAGTGGAAAACAGGACCAGATACACAAAAACAGAAAACACACAAAGAGCAGAGGCTTAGGACACAGAAACAGAAACCACACAAAGAGCAGAGGCTTAGGCAGATGGGGGGGCAGCGGGGGCCGCTGACCGTGACAGAACCCTCGTTTTTCATGGGGGTTACGTTCCAAAAAGAACCCATGATAGGCGAAATCCGTGAAGCAGTAGCCTTTATTTTATTTACAATTATTATACAATGAAATACTCCATAATCCATTCAAAACAAAGAACAAAACCTTTTTACAGGCCCAAGCATTTGTTTAACAAATAAAAGTACTGTATAAACGTTTTTTACAAACAATTACTGTACTGGAGAGACTGTTTAGCCAATCAGAATGCAGAACACAATGCACGATGCAAATAAGTGAAGCAGCGAGACTGTGAAAGGTGAAC